GTACCTAAACAAATTTTAGGTACAGGTACAGGTACAGGTACACAGGTTTAGGTACAGGTCCGGACCTGAACCTGTACCTGAACAATTCGACCAATTTATATGCTCTTCTGAACTCCTTCAATAACAAAAAACATAAATAAACTTGATAGTTAAGGTTTATTCTTTGTTTATGGCGAATGCTCAGATAAAATATAGGCAAAACTAAGATGTTTTTGTTTTCATGAACACACTGTCCTTACACAGGCACCCATTGTTAACCAGCTATTTAAACATTTGAGGTCACAAATAGGCATAAAATTGGTGTGAAATTGTTTAGGTACAGTACCGGTACTGAGGGATTAGGTATTTTGGACCTGTACCTAATCATTTTTTCCGGTACAGTATCGGTACTGCGTACCGGTACACAGCTCTACAACAGACCCTTCGGACATCCACCCACAGGACCTTTGAATCCAAGGCCACTGAACTCCACTTACTGCTATTTCTGGAAACATGGTCGGGGTGGATGAAACCTTCTTGGGCTTGTTCATTAGTGTCTGGCTGGCTTATCTCGGGGAAATGTCAATGACCCGCCATGTTCTCTGGTACAGAATCAAAAGTTGTCCTGCGGGGCCCATATATATGGGTTGCACATACAGTACCATCCATATATAAGTGCCCTGTACACATGTATGTTCGATTTGGGGGTGTTTCTCATGCACCGCATCACGTACACCGCAGCGAAACGCAACAAATGCGTATTACTAACTTACAGTATGTAACCACGGGGCAAAAAAAGTCAAGGGGCTGTGACCTGATTATGACTTAAAATTATTTGCAAATACTGTGTAAAAATTGCTAGCAGGACAAGGGTTACTACCTACACATGTAATCAGACTGACTGACTTACAGAGAGAAAGAAACCCACATGTACATGTAGGTGTAAGCAAGGTGATTGGTGTAAGCATTCTACCACCCATTTGCCCCACGTACAACTTCCAAAAATAGTTTCATCACGTTGGTAAAGTATAGGATATAGGGGTTTTCGTAATGCAAGCAAGGTAAGAGACATTTGGTTGTGTAAAAGAAAATCCCTATATCCCACGTACTACTGAATGCTTCAAAAAAGTTTCCACAATTTCATCTGAAACACATTTAAAGCTGAAAGAAGCATCTACAATGACTACATGTTGGATTGGTTGGTTTTCCTGTAATGCCCACAATCATGATAATAATCATTCTGGCATACTCAATTTCACCTGAGCAAAGTGAGGAAAGTCGTGTAAATACTACTGCCTTTCCCAAGGGCACAAGGTTGTTGACTTGACAGGATTCGAACCTGGGACCTCTCGGTTCTGCTCTGCTTTTACACCACACAACCCCACAAGTACATGAACAATGAAACTTTATGGAGTAAAGAGACTCTTTTTACACAGCCAAGTCTTAAATTCAGCCGACGTTTCGGTGTGTAAAGAAGACTTGGGTGTGTAAGAAGAGTCTCTTTACTCCATGAAGTTTCATTGTTCATGTACTTGTGGGGTTGTGTGGTGTAAAAGCTGATGAAACCTGATGAAACTATTCACGAATGAAACTGTATTTTTCTTCTGAACCACTTCAGGTTATCTCAGGACAGTTTCTGACTGACAAGAAAGTCGGCACATACGTGGAAGTGGACATGTACGGCTTACCGGCAGACACCGTCCGAAAGCGATTCCGCACCAAGGTCGTCCCAGCCAACGGAATCAACCCCATATACGACGAGGAACCCTTCGTGTTTAAAAAGGTGAGATCACGCAGTATCCCTAAAAACAGCTACATTGTACTCAAGCAACTGGATATGATTTTGGAAACGGTCAGATGTTTCAGGTCGCATCCGCTACCTTTCATCAGTTGAAAAGCAGGTTTAGAAGTACGGACTACAGTATTGAAATCTTATCATGTTGTTTGAGTAACTGTTTTTTGGCGTATCTTATTACCTGGATGTATAACCTTCGCCGACGCACACAGTATGCTTGAATGTCTATTTTTGTACTTAACTTGTAGATCTTTTTGTTATCGCCACTGTCTGATATATTCTGATAACTTAAGGTTAGAAGTTAAGATCTAATGTAAGATACATATGCCTGTCTATTTTAAACTTGTTGGAATATACATATTTTTGTAATCAACCCCATCTAGTAAGGTTAGAACTGTAGTGATAAGATCTATGTAAGATACGACAAGGGCCCAAGGATGTAAGATGCATATCTCACTTCGTTTACATGTCAATGCATTCATAGGTTTTAAATAAATACCTGCTGACTACAAATCTCTTTCAGTCACTGACATAAGGTAGTGGGTGAATGCTACCTGAAATGTTTGACCATTTCCAAAGTCTATACAGTTCCTTGAGTAACTGCTACTTTGGTGTCTCATTACCCAGATGACTTTGTCTAAGAGTGTTACATGGATTTTCTAAGGTCTGAATTCCTCCTCATGTACTGACTTGTTCTTCCTTGTCTCCTTTCAGGTTGTACTTCCCCACTTAGCGGTCCTGCGCATCTCAGTGAGTGAAGAAAACGGGAAGTTTATAGGCCACAGAATCCTGCCTGTGGAGGGCCTGAGACCAGGTAGGAGCTTAACAATCATCAACTTTTCATCATCTGTAATTCCTTCGGCGTAACACACCAGCTTCTGTATCTGTATAGTCAGTATAACCGCCCTTCGGCGTAACACACCAGCTTCTGTATCTGTATTGCCGGTATAACCGCCCTTCGGCGTAACACACCTGCTTCTGTATCTGTATAGCCAGTATAACCGCCCTTCGGCGCAACACACCAGCTTCTAAATGCTCAGCTGCGTTGCTGGTAATAATACTGAAATGTTGAACTTTATTCCAACACAAGGGTTACACAGAGATCAAATTTTCAACAACCACTGTTACCTTCATCAGGATTTTTAATGACCAATCACTTCCGGACGCAATCATCAACTTTATTTTTGCATCACATTCTTGCATGGTATTCCTATATAGTATGATTGGTGCTTGTTAATTTGGCTCTAAGGTATGGTCTAGGCCTTCTGCAGCACTGTCTTGCCTTATTCTATCACCTTTCATTACTGAGGTTTTGAAAAGGAAGAGACAGCAAGGGGTACATGTACCATTTCGGTCCAGTATGACATTTATATCTAATAGTCTCATAGCTCCAGTTGTGTGAACCATGTTACATCAATCTTGAAACCCCCATAAATTACCATATCCTCAGGGAAACCCACACGCAGGGTAAATGATACACCTACGTGTGGTGTGTGGGTTGATATGATCCCCATGTGATTTCCATCAGTGAGTTCTCTCGTTAGAAAGAAAGCCATAAATAGTGCGTTAGGCCACACCAATTTAATTTCTTGGTTAATGGATTTTTCTAGAAAAATAATGGAGCGGGCGGGGGAAAAAAAATAAAAATAAAAACAGGCCTAGGCATCCTATTATGGCCCAAAATGATATTACAATAGGAGCCATGAAGTCAACACACCAGGCTGGTTCAAAATTTACACAATGAATTTTGAACTTTTAATGATACCATTGCATTGAAAAGTGGAATGACTGCAACAAGTAGTAAGAAAAGGTCTATTTTCAACTGTTCAGGGCAAAATATGAGCATTTTGCAGTTGATTCTGAATTTTTATTTTTATTTGCAAATCAGAAAAAAATGAAGCGGCGAATCCGAGAACCAAGAAATTAAATTGGTGTGGCCTTATGCCATAAGATATGTCCTACAGGTGCTACTTGCCCATTAGGCTGTGGTTGCCACACCTTAAATGCTGTTTACCAGATTACTTTGACAGATTTTGTACCAGATGGTCCCATGAAGCAACCTTGATCTAAATCCTTCCTTAAAGCCTTGTGTAGCCTGCACTTTGCTGAAATTGCTTCCCGTGTAACAGTGGGGGGTTTATAGGCGCTACCAACAGATCCGGCAAACGGGTCTAGACCTTATAGCGGAGAGTTTAGAGTGTTTGACTGGGGCCCGGGAGGTTGTGGGTTCGAACCCCGGCCCGGGACCAGTGGGGTTTTTACTGGCTCCTCCTGTTTCTTACAGTGGTTCCCACACCGGCCCTGGGAGTTCTGGCAAAGAGTGCCGCTCCAGGGATGTCGAATTCGGAAGATTCGAGGACGAATCTTGAAAAGAAAAGGGGGAGTAGTGTAACAGTGGGGGGTTTATAGGCGCTACCAACAGATCCAGCAAACGGGTCTAGACCTTTTAGCGGAGAGGTTAGAGTGTCTGACTGGGGCCCGGGAGGTTGTGAGTTTGAACCCCGGCCCGGGACCAGTGGGGTTTTTACTGGTCCTCCTGTTTCTTACACCCGCAACATTTACCACTTAGGACGAGTATCACACCTACACACTCACTTAACATAATCTTATGAATTGGTCTGACTTTTGTATGCTTGGCTATGTCTTGTATTATACTCAAGATAGCACAGAGGCCTTTTGAAATAAGCTCATCTTTTGATAATGCCAAGCTGGCTCTGTCTGTAACGTATTTTGACACTTGTCTCTTCCAAGAATATAACCAAAAATACACACTTCATTCACGTCTTTTTATTCCCTCTGTAATGTTGCACTTACACTATCCTGGCTCTCTTTAAAAATATCACCAAAAATATACGTTCATTCAGTTTTTTATCCCTTCTCTGATGTTGCACTTACACATGGAGAACACTATCTCTGCTCATAAATTCCACTCAGGAACAAGGGAAGACTCAAATCTCCAACCTTATCTCTTAAGCACAAACTAAAGATACCACAGAAAAGACCCAAGACCTTCAGTAGTTCAGCGGACCAAATCCCTCGGTGGCGAAGCTTCCCTTCTCCCCCCCACCTCCGTGTCCCATTATGGGACCTGCTTCCGAGACAAACAAGCTGACCTTTGAAATGGAACACCGCTTGCGTCACTATCTCCATGGAAACGCCCGCCCACACCCGGGTTATTACCGGTGGATCTGACGGCACGTGTCTCGCATGTAGGCTGCAAAATGTTACTCTCCAAGCAGAGGTTTGGGTTTTGGGGGTATTTTTAGTGTGTTTTTAGGCTTTTTTATTGGGGTTTCTCTTTTGCACTGAATTTTTTGGGGTTTGGTGGAACAAAAAATTCAGTGCAAAAGAGAAACCCCAATAAAAAAGCCTAAAAACACACTAAAAATACCCCCAAAACCCAAACCTCTGCTTGGAGAGTAGCAAAATGTCTCTTCCAAGGAAATGCGTGCATTGAGCGTTCATCGATTCAAAGCTAGACGGGCATGTTTGATGGGGAATCTGACAGTGTTGTAGCTTTAGGCCACACCAAGTAAATTTTATGGATGATGTCCTTTGGAGACCCTAAATCTAATGCGAGAGGGCGAAAAAAAAACAAGAAAGGCCCTGAAAAACAAGATGCCTAGATTAGAAATAAACTAAGAGACGACAAATGTTATGACACAAATTGAATGAGGTGACACAGTGTAACAAGCAAGAAGTTATTCATCATCAAAAAAGCAATGAATCAGGTGGAACAGCAGTTATCGTCCTGTCCTGTTTCTTTCATCACATTTTTTGCAGGCCTACAGAAACAAAGCATGTGCTCTTTACCCATTTCGCGTTACGGGGTTCACGTCAATCTAACGATTTGCGGCACTGTTGTGACTCTTTGGTCATAGTGCAGGAAGCGGAATTTCTTGTTTTTTTTCTAGGAACAGGCCAAAATCAATGCGCGCGCGGACGTCATCCATAAAATTTACTTGGTGTGGCCTTATACAAGTATACAGAATTGAGGTTCAATCTACAGTTTTGCCTATTAAACATTTTCAGGTTCCTGTATTGTGATACTGTGATAGAATTGGTCCAACATACACAAGCTTACAAATATACAGAATTGTGGTTGAAACCTCAGTCTTCCCTCAAAATTTCCAGATCTCCTTGTGATATAGGAGTGTTGTTCCACAATAAACCACAATAACCCACAATATACTATATTTTGATAGAATTCATGTACATGTAGGCCCTGCCATTACTACTTGATATACAGGCTTGCAGAGACTGCAGATATATATACTCAGAATTGAAGGGAAAAAAAACAATGTATCAGATCAGAGTATCACATCAATCTACATGTACCATAACTGTGGTACGATTTAGCTGAATTCTAATTCTGTGGACAGTGTACTTGAGTTTTTACACCATGAGCTTGACACTCAGTCTGGTTCTTTTCTTGTGCAGGCTACAGGCACATAGTCCTGCGGAACGAAGCCAACCAACCGCTGAACCTCCCCACAGTGTTCGTCCACATCACAGTCAAGGACTTCATCCCTGATAGTTTCGAAGGTCAGTCCCGAATTTTAGTTTAAGTCTTGAGGATTTGTTCAGCATGTTATAATTATACATGAAACAATATCACGTTGGCAGAACGTACTACATGTAGTAGACCTGTGCTAAGCCAGTAATGCGCTTTGGCAGAATGTTTTAATCGTAATTGCATATTTAAGGATAGTGGTATATAGTTTTCAAATGTCATGTCAGAAAAGATTTTATCTGCAATTAGAAAAATTCTGATGTAACATTTACCAAAGATGTAACAGGAACCATGAAAAAAGGGTTTTCCTGACAGTTTTCCTTTCCTCTGTCCAGACTTCGCCAATGCGCTGGCGAACCCCATAGCATACCAGGCAATGATCGAGAAGAGAGCCCACCAACTGGAGGCTCTTATGGAGGTAAGGAAAAACCCTTGTGTGCTGGGGATGGGAAAGGGGTTTCACAGGTCAGTTGGATTTACAAATCAGATGTCCATTTTTGGTTTGCTGAATTGATAACACTGCTGTCTGGATCCAAAAGCATGTCCCTAACCAAAGCTAGGTACTCATTTTTACCTGAGTCATGTGAGGAAATAGATGTGCCCTTCCCAAAGACACAACAGTTGGGCCTCCCAGTGATTCAAACTCAAAACATTCAGATTCTGAATCAACAACCTTAACCCAAGACCACCTTTTGTTGCTTGACGAAATGTAATAAGTTTTGTCCCGTGTAAATATATGCTGGGCCCCATTGGAAAGCAGCTTCTACAAGCTGAATGGGCTACCCAGCCGTTTTATGATGATATAAATAAATAAATAAAAACACCGCCTTGTTACCATATTTTACAGGACGATGACATCAGTACAGCTGAGGAAGACGGGCGGCCTAAGATGACCCCGGGTGAGAAGATGGTCAGCGGCACGCCGGTGCAGCGCAGCCTGTCCTCCGGCTCCACCAACATGGAGCAGCTGGGTTCTACTGCCAACGCCAGGAAGGGCTCGTCTCCCAACACAACTGCTAACATACACAGTGCCGTGTCCAGGGTGGCCAGTAGCACATCGGTGGAACCCCCCGCCGGACAGACTGAGAAAGGTAGGAGTACTATATGGGAAAGCATTCTTTGTTAGCAAAAGATTGTACTCAAAACCAGAAGGTAAATGCTAGGCTTAGAGCTTGTCTCCCAACACTACTGCTAACATACACAGTGACGTGTCCAGGGTGGCCAGTAGCACATCGTTGAAGAAAGGCAGGACTGGTCGGCTTTTATGTGGGGAAGGGTTCCTTGATCAGTTTCTGTGTCTGTATAACTAGTGTAACCACACTTCAATGTAACACAACAGCTTCTGTATGTGTATAGCCGGTACAACCACCCTTCAATGTAACACAACAGCTTCTGTATCTGTTTAGCCGGTATAACCACAGTTCAATGTGTAAGACACCAGCTTTGCAGGCATGAGGCATGGCGGCAGCTGGTTATATTACACTGAACGACCTGTTACACCTAACCTTTGAACATCTAACTCTAGACATAGTAATAGTTGTTTAAGTATTCGATAAGGATGCCCCTATTTTAAATGTTGTCAGCGAGTTCCATTCTACAATACGAAATGTAGTTCCATCAAATGCTAATTTTTGAACAGGTTGTTGTTCTGTTGTCTTCTGCAGGTCGGAAGTCCCTCACGTCGGGTGTTCTGACCCCCAGCCTGTCCATAGACCAGACAATTAACAAGTCCCTGACTTCACCTGACGGAGAGAAAGAACCGCCAGCAGAAATCTTCAAACCTCTCACAATCCAGGAGCTCAAACAACTCAAGGTGAACACACGACTCAAGTAGCTGCTAGTAGTTGTCTAAAGACACACAAAGACGAGTCCAAAACATTGCATCTATACGATAAGTAGACTTGACATGTTTACTGAAATTTCCTGAGTCATCAACCCTAACCACAAGACCATCTTATTTACATCACTTTTCACCTGTTTCTTTGTTTATGCAAAGCAGATAGTCAAAGTGATCTCGATCCAGTTCTTGCTCACTGAAGAGCTACTCTTCCACGTGCTGATCATGACAGAGAAGACAGTATTTACAGGTTCATTGTACCAACTTAAACGAAGGGAAATTCCCCTGGCTCTTTTTGACAAGAGCAATGGCACAGTGGATTAGCATTCTGTCCTAGGGACTGTGACCCTTTCCAGTAGTATGCATGTCTGGTGAGTGACAACAGCTGGGATTCAAACTCCCAACCTCCTGGTCCAGAAGCAGGGTCGCTAACAACTGGACTAAGCAAGTTTTTGTAACCACAAGCTCATGATGGCAGTCCTAATTAAAAGAGCTACTTCTTTGTATTTTCCAGACCTTCAAGAAATTAAATGACAAGCAACAAAAAGAACTGGCAGCTCTGAACAAGAAACAAGAAAAGGTAA